ATGCCGTCACAAATAATTTCATAACTTTCAATCTATGAGGAATTTCGAAATGATTTCTGCATGCAACTTTAAGTCCACTCAGAGATATTTCAAATAGAGGTGGTTTGAGAAAAATTGGATTTCATTTGATTAGTAAAAACCCATGGCAACAATAGTGATAGTGATGAAACTCAGTGCAATCTAATAACAGTGACATGTCTATACATATTAGGACATAACGTTTCCTTCATTAGGAATATTAACACAGTTTAAACATGAAGATTGTAGTAGACTCATTCATATTTCTAATGGAAGTGATTCTTCTTTGTCTATTCAAAAGTCTCATACAAAAATATGCATGTTCTTGAAATTTCACAGTAATACTTTACATGCCTCAAGAACATGTTCCATAACCTTCAATTCTTAGTGAGTAATATCATAATAACTGTTCCTTCACAATATGCACAGATAAACATACATTTTCTACAAAATTTGTAAGCCATACATTTATTTTTCAGCACCAAAATTCATCATAGAGCAAAGGCACCAATTTCAGTGAAACAAGGCAAATGAATCACTATAATACATTCACTTTTTATTACTCATCTTGTTAGACAATCAGTTTCATGTATTCTCATGGCAGTAGTGTAATGATGGTGGATCCACTTACCTGGTTCAACAATGCTTTCTTCCAACAGAACTCTTTCTTATAGTCTTCTTTTTTCAATTCCTAATAAAGGCTTCAAAGGCTCAAAGAGAGAGAGAGAGAGAGAGAGAGATGGGTTGATAAATGGGTAAGGAGAAGGGGTAGGTGAGGTGGCAACAAGCCACCTCCAAGTGGCACAAGGAGGGGGATGAGGTGTTGTTGCCACCTCCAAGTGGCACAAGGAGGGGATGAGGTGGCAACAAGCCACTTCCAAGTGGCACAAAGAGTACAACCATGTGTTTAAAGGGGAACGAGGGAAAAGAAAAGGAAGTCTCTCATCTACTACCCTACTCCAACGGTCCTGACGGTCTATTCTCACTCTATTTCTAACACTCGCGGTGGTAACACTCGTGGTGATAACACTCGCGGTGATAACACCATCTCATAGCCCCGCGTGCTCCTTCTCCATCGGACTTTTCCTGTCGCTCACATCTTCCTTGCTGGGAAAAGCTCGGTCCATACAAATCTAGCATTTAGTGTCACTGGAAATGCCCCGGTCCGGTGTTATGGGGGCCGGTCCGGCAATAAGGATGG